GGCGATATCCTGCGAGTAGCATAGGCAACAAGCCCAGTTTCAGAGGCACTCCGCCCTCATGGAGGCCATTCAAGGTTCCCTTTTAGGCAACCTTCGCGAGATTCAGAGTTCACAAATTGCCTTGTCCGCCATATTCGACCAGTTCGAGGCTTCTCAAAGCAGTCATCGTCGCAGCCGATCCCGTCATCCTAGACATTCACCGCATGATGGAGAGGGACCCAGCCAGCCTTAGTACTTTACCAGGTGACTCTTTCCTTATCTTGTTTCGTAACATTGGGGACAATGTTTGATTTAAGTGTGGGAGGAGATTTACTCACTTTATTTTTCTCGCTTTATTTTTCCTTTCCTGCACTTTCCTTCTCGTTATTTTACTTCTTTATTTGCTTTTGTTTGCTTGTTTGCTTTCTTTTCAAAATAATACATGTGTTTGACGAGTCATCTATATCTGTATGGTCTAGTGTATGTCCACTCCCCCATTTCTTGAGCCTAACCGGGATTTTTTTCTAATAAAAACAATGTGTTTTGAACTTAGTTGGGCTATAAGACCTGGTTGAGATAGGATGTAGTATGACTTGGGAAAGCCCTTTTGAAGCATCGGCATCGTTTTTACACCTTAAGATTCGTAAATTTAGGAATTCGATCCTGATACCCCCTATGTCGTGGCCTTAAAATTTTCATTCTTAAATCCTTGAATTGTTTATCCTAGCAGTCAACTTCGGTCTAAGCATGCTCTACGTAAGGGACCGAAGAGAAGTGAATGATCTATATGCTATTATCTTATTATAAACTACAACCCCGGGATAGGTGACCCTCACAAAGTCATTTAACTCAACAAAAGTTGTATGTTGAAAAATAAAGCAAAAGCAAAAGTAAAAGAAGAAGAAAAAGAAAAAGAAATTTTTTTTACCCATCTTTAGTTGGTTCAGAGGTATCTGGTGCTGAACTTGGTAGGGTGGATTATGATCCGATCCCCCGCAACTATAAATGGGTCAATAAAAGGGATTACACCAACTTTTTGTACCAGAGCCCTGTGTTTTATGATCAGAATCACTACCCGGTCACTTTACTATGAGCATGTACGAATAACGGGCTTAATGTGATTGCGCCTGAATGAAAAAGGATTTGAAAAAAAGGAAAAATATAGGCCTAAGCATAGTGGCATGATATGGATTGGTTCGTAAAAGAACGAAGCTTATGTCCGTTTTACGGAAGAGTGTTACTATGATATCCTTGGTTTAAATCAATCAGTACCTATCAATACATCCCTGTTTTAATTCCAGAGGCCCCTTGCAGCCCAACTTGTTCACTAACACCATTTTTCTTCTTAATCTATTTAGAGTTTTTGCTTGAGGACAAGTAAAGGTTTAAGTGTGGGAGAATTTGATAACACTTACTTTACACTTGTTTTTTACTCTGATTTCACATGTTATTTAGGTTTTTTATTATTGTTTTCTCGTATTATGCCTATCTTTTCTTTCCTTTTCAGGTATTTCAATTATCCAGAGCTCCCCTGAAGAAATGAAGGAAAACAGGCTGAAAAATAGGAGTTTAGGTCAAATTTGCACTCATGGCGTTCACCAGGGCGCCAGCCATAGGGTAGGCCATGACGTGGACCACCTCCTGCTGACCTCAACTGCCACGTTCCCCACTTCCTTTCATTTACACTCATGGTGGGCGCCACCTTTGGACGATGTTTTCCCCCCCAAAAGGAGTTGGGGGCATTCTTATGATTTCCTGCATTCTTCATCCTCTATAAATAGAAGTTCCTGATTTCATTTCAATTCACTCAAGCTTAGTTGCAAACTTGATCCAACCATAGTTGTGAACTTAAGCCATATAATTTCACCATTGTAAACCGACAATTCTTCACATTGGGGAATTATTGCACTGTTGATTGCGTCGTGGTCGAGTTCGTAGATTGAGTTTGTAATCGAGTTTGGAGCACTTCGGCAGAAGTTTATCCTGCCACATTTATTTTCAACTACTGTTTATTTCCAGTCGCATTTTACTTCCAGTTTGTACCAGATTTAAAACCTCCCCGTTTGGAGCAGGTTCTATTTATGTTTCCCGCACCTGCTTTTACTTTGTTTATTTCCCGCACCTGCTTTTACTTTGTCTATTTTCCATACTGCTTTTACTTTGTTTATTTCCCGCACCTGCTTTTACTTTGTTTATTTTCTGCACTGCTTTTACTTTGTTTATTTCCCGCACCGCACTTTAAATTATTTACTTTCTCGCATGATTTATTTTAACATGTATGTTTACATTCTCATGTCAGGTTGAACCTTACTGGGCTAGAATGTAAGGAATCTAGTTAGATCGATATTCCAAATAATGTGTCAATAGAAATGCTTATGGGCTATTTTGGTTTTTAATACGAGTTTTCTGTACTTTATTGTTGTTGGGTAAGATCGAAATTCGTCCAACCCTTTGTTAAACTCAGTTAGTTCTAACTGGTCAAAGGAAGCGAAAGCGCTTTGTCCGGTTAGTTATGGATTTTTATTATCAAAGAAATCAATTTTGAAACTATTTTCGAACGCGTTTATAAGGTTAAATTTAGGTCCCCTTTTTATTAGAAATTTCAAATCAAAATACTTTTCAACTTGGTCAAGTACTTTATTTCTTAAAAATAGGTTTATTACTTTAACGCAATGTGCGCCTTTTTATAAGTGATGATAAGAAGGTCTGATTAGTGAGTAAACTCGGTTCTGATTACGCAAAAGCGACAGTTCCTGTTAAATTAGTTCTTCTCTTTAGTAGAAAATATTGCCCTATAAGTAGTTTTATTCCGAAGCATTGCGAATATCATCTGACTATGTGAATTACATTCGACCTTGCTTTTATATCTGAAGTTTATTTCGCCGCACTTTACTTTCTTGCATGCTCAATTCCCTGTTTAATATTGACTTAGCTAAACACCATAACAATAGGAAACGATAGATTGACGTTTGGTCTTTGTGGATCGATAATCTTTTATATTACTCTGACGCAATTCGTACACTTGTGAATACACCGCATCAATGTATAACACAAACATCAGAGTATTGTAAAATGTGTGGTGATTTAGAAGAGAAATTGCGTAGTTTGTAAAATAACAAAGGAAACACCAGCCAACGGCAGAATTAGAAAATTCATAGCTTGAGTTATAGCTTCTCGCAACCGCTGCATACCATGTTTCAGGCGCTCTAAAACCTCAACTGCGCAAAAATTCTATAGCAGCAGACAACACAATAACTAATAGATGAAAAACAACAACATGCTTGATAACATATATATCAGAAGATATCGCATAATCGGTTCAAAAACCTCGATTTATTGTTGTCACTTATAATTTTCAACCATTTCCACCTTAAAATCGATAATAGGGAGCTTTTCGTCACCATTTCTATATTTGGTAACGATCTTTATACAACCAATCACAAATTTATCAATTATACATGACAGAAAAAACCAATAAATTCAGTACATATTGCAAAGTGAATTTAATTTGCTAGAATTCATAGTCTTTTCCCTCTCACCTTATTTCAAATGTTCTGGTCTGAAGCAGTGATAGGATCCCATAAATTTTGTCGTCTTTCTTCAAAATTATAGTCCAATAGAAAGATGTTGAATGTTCCACTTTTCAAATCAGTTTTTTATTTCCCTGTAAGAATATATCATATCTATCAAATTCATTTGCAATAAGACTTACAATGTGAATACGAATTTTTGGTGATAAATTAATAATGGAGTAGAAGACCTGCATCAATCCTTTTACGGACAACAAATGGAATGAACACCAACAAAATTATCCCCTTTTTATTATCCCTTTTTCAAACTCATCAAACTCAATTTATAATATAAAAACCCTAACCACAAATTATCCCCTTTTCATTATCAACATCAACAAAATGAAAATCTTTCCCAATTATTCTATTCCTCACATAATCATACCTTTCTATTGCCGGCGACAAAGGAAGTTAGAAGCCCGTAGGTTAATCCTGAAGAACCTGGAAAACAAAAAAAGAGTGAACATAAAAACCAAATCGATCTTCTGAAATAGAGAAAATAAATATAGAAAAGAAAGAACAAAGAATAAAAACAGGAAGCAGGGGAAAAAGACAGATCGTCGACGATGGCTTCACGGAGCTTCAAATTCTAAAACCAAAATAATTAAATTGAATTAAAATGATGAAGAAGAAGAAGAAGACATATGCATCAGAAGAAGAAGGAGAGAGAGAGAGAGAGAGAGAGAGAGAGATAGAGAGAGAGAGAGAGAGAGAGAGAGAGAGAGAGAGAGAGAGAGAGAGAGAGAGAGAGAGAGAGAGAGAGAGAGAGAGAGAGAGAGAGAGAGAGAGAGAGAGAGAGAGAGAAGTATCGATGGAAGTTGGAAGAACAAAGAGTGAATGTGAAGGTGGAATAGGAAAATGAAACAGATGTGGAATAATGAGTGTGTATGGTTTAGGTTTTGGAAGAGAAACCGTTCCAATAACTGTCACATATTGAAGAAGAAAGATGGACTGTGGATTGTATAAAACAGATTGTAAGTGGAAGGAAGTGTAAAGAATGAGCAAAAATTATAAATAAAAAAAGTGAAGTGTGCTAAGTGAAACAAAAATCTAGTTTGCCTAACACATGAAGCCACATATTGTGTTTGTCGAACAAAAGGACAAAATAAATTTTTTTGAATAGAATGAATTTTCTTATATTATAGAGGATGAAAATATCAAGTAAAAAGAAATGTTTTAAAAATGATATAATATTATTATAATATATAAATACATTCTGCCCACAAAAAAACTATGTTATACATCGAAATCGAAAATGAGAAAGTTTTGACTTGTAACAAAATTCAGGCCTACCAGTTAGAAACAGACAAAAAAGAAGAAAATATATGAGTATATATCAGCTTCATACATAATACAAAACACAATCATCCAAAAATTAACATATCATTCATAATAATTCTCTGTGCTCAAGATTCATCCATCGAGTAACAGTTAGCAAAACGTAGCCTAAATATGACATCTTCTACAGCCAAAACGAAGGTGTTTGATTCAGAAGAAGCTTTAGCAACGGTTAAGAATCTGAGAGAAGCGTTTGTGTCTGGTAAAACTCGAAGCTATGAATGGAGAGTTTCTCAGTTGAAAGCTCTTTTGGGATTAACTGAAAAGCATGAGCAAGAGATTTTCGATGCTCTTTTCTCTGACTTATCTAAATCTGAAGCTGAAGCCTTCATCCAAGAGGTACACAATTTCTTAATCTATGCTATAATTTTATCATTAATTTATTGAAATTTATGTGCTTTATCTTTTCAGTTTCTATTTTTGTCTTTGTTTGGTGTTTTTGTTTGACTTTAGATTGGGTTTGGTGTGGTTTTATTTTAATGTTAAGTTCATAGGGGTTAAAAAAAGAATAATTATTAATTAACAATTTCAAAATTACTTGAAAATTAACAAGAATATATTTATTTATGATCTTGTTCTAATGGTTAAAAAAGTTGGACCACTATACAAAGCTTGGGGTCACTTCCCTAAAATAATTTATTTTCAAATTCTTTTAAAAATAGTCATATAGTCCAAATGATATGTATATTTGGATGGGCGTTCCTATGCAACATAGACGTGAATTTGCAAAATACTAATAGATAATTGTGTTAGCCAAACGTGTGATGAAAACATGATTTCTTTGTTTTTCAAGAGACATAGAGCAGATTAATCTATTAGCATGTGCAAGCTTTCAAACGAGTTGGAATGAAGCTTGCCATTGAGTTGGCTTTAGACAAGCATTTAGAACCAAGTCTGAATTGAAACTGATTCTTTAGTGGTGGGAAAAGCTTTTTCTAATCCTAATTTTGCTTTTTGGCATATTAAAAATTGCTGGTTGAATTATCTTCACAAAATTAGATACGTAGACTTTATGATTTCTCACATCAATAGAGAAGACAACATGTGCGCGGACATCTTTGTTAGTATTGGATTGAGATTTAGGAGTTTTATTGGGCATGACCGTCTTCTAGATAGCCTTAGAGGAGTTTTCTTGTATAACAAACTTGGTATGACTAAAGTGTTTTTAACCTATATGAGAAAGTTGAAGACGATATCATTCCATAAATTACGCAATTTAAATAATTTGGATACATAATGCAAAACGACGGAGAAATATAGGAGGATGTAAACCATCAAGCTTAAGTTAGATGGCTGAAGTAGAGAAGACTTTAGGGGTTTTATGTGACACAAAGGTACCGCCCAAGTACAAGAATTTTTTTTATCAGAAAGTGCTAAGACATGCAATTTTGTGTGGGACATAATGTTGCAGGGTTAAAAAATCAACACGAGAATAAAATAAGTATAGCATAAATTACGATGTTAAATTGAATGTGTAATAAGACTAGACATGATAAGATTATAAATACATTATAATTTCCTAAGGCCAATCTAAAACTATAGTCAATCTCCATATTAAACTTTGCTCTTGTCGTTTAGACAAAAGGCATTACTCTTCACACCCTTAGTGGTGCTCGGCCACTCTAGTGAAAAACCAATAATGGCCATAAAACATGGAAGTTAAACTCCAGACGCACCCAAAATGCAATCATAATAAAGTCTTAGGCCCAAGCCAAAACAAAGTAGAAAACATTTGGAGGTTAATCTTCGAATTTTTTACGAAAATTAACTTTTGTAATCCCCCTATTAACCCACACCAAAAACAATTGCAGAAATGTGAAGAACAACATAAATTAACATAAATCTTTGTTATGACATGCATAAAATACATAACATTACATATATTTTTGTTAACGTAAATCTAACTTTACATTTCATCTTTAAGAGATGGTTGAGGATGTTTCAACATCTTTAGAATATCTTAAGTTGATCTTGCAATTGTCGCATCCACCTCGATCAGATTTTTTATTTTATAACAGTGAAATATACTCTACATAACAGTTGTTAAATTGTAATTCATAGTGTCGAAAAGATTAGATTTGTTTAGAATTAAATAGATTTGATTTAAGTCTAGAATAGATTAGATTTGATTTAGTAACAAAATAGATATTTTGGGCTTTGGACTTAGGGTGCAAGCTCAATTATAAATAGAGGGAGTAACCCCTATTTTGTAATCAAGTCAATTAAGTTGTATTCACAGAATTTGTAGTTGCAATTGAATAACAAAGTATTCCACAGATTGTGGGCAGAGAGAAACTCCGCAGAAAATAATTGTCTTCTTTCTTTTCTTATTTTTCTCATAATTCATTGTCATTGAAGTAGAAATTCATCATAGATATTTGGTGGATTTCCAACATCTGGTATCAAGAGCTTTGTTTCGATTCGAGGGAAGTGTCAATCAAGAACGGTTGAAGAATTCATGACGGCAAATTATAGGAATGCAAATTATCCAGCAATTCTACCAATTCTAAAAGTAGACAACTATGAGAATTCGTGTAAACAGATGAAAGTCTTATTCAGGTGTCAAGGTCTTTGGGACCTTGTAAAAGATGGAGTCGAAGTGCTTGAAGACAACGCTTCAGAAGAAGAAAACAAGAAACACATAGAAATTGAGAAGCTGAGTTATAAAGCGCTCTTTATAATTCATCAATGTCTGAGTCCATAAAACTTTGAAAAGTGAGTGATTCAGAACTTGTAAAAGAAGTTTGTGACGTTCTTGAGAAGTCCTTTGGAGGGGCAGAAAAGGGTAAAAGAAGTGAGGTTACAAACTCACAAGAGAAACTATGAATTGCTTCAGATGGAAGATAGTGAGAGCATATCTGATTTCTTTACTAGAGTTGCAAAACTAGTGAATCAAATCAAGGCACGTGGAGAAATATTAACAACAAGAGTTGTTGTTTCGAAGATCTTTAGATCTTTAGCTCCTAAGTTCGACCATATAGTGGTGGCGATAGAAGAAGGGAAAGACTTGTCGAAGGTGACAAAGGAAGAACTTCAAGGGACGCTTGAATCTCACGAACAAAGAATGATTGAAAGAGCTGCATACAAATCGAAGAGTGATGTGACCTTGCAGGCACATTCAACAAAAGAGATCAAAGACAAAGGAAAGTTTTCTGACAGAGGTAGAGATGGCTACAACAAATCAAATGGTAGAGGAAACCAGATCTAAGGAAATGTATCAAATTAAAGAAAACCATACCAAGACAACCAAAGAGGTGGTGTTGCAAATAGAGGAACTGGTGGTGGTCAAAAACCTGATAAGAGTCACATTCAATGTTATAATTGTCAGAAGTATGGTCACTATTCGAGTGATTGTCCAGAAAAATGAAAGAATCAAGAAAGTGATGCAAAGCTTGCAAAACATGAAGAAGAAGAAGAAGAAGAAGAGATGATGCTGATGGTCACAACAAAAGATGAAGATAGATTCAAGGACCAATGGTACTTGGATTCAGGATGTTCTTCATATATGTCTGGAAGAAAAGACTGGTTTGTCAACATAAAGCCCTCAACAAAAAATATGGTAAAATTTGCATATGATAATACCCTAGCAGCTGAAAGTATTGGTGATATTATGATTATGAGGAAAGATGGCAAAAGGTCAGTAATTTCCAATGTGTTGTACATACCAGGCATGAAGAGCAATTTGCTCAGTATAGGGCAGTTGGTCGAAAAGAATTATAAAGTTTCAATCGAAGATAAGATGATGAGAGTCGTTGATGCAAATGGGAGATTAATCTTGAAGACTCATATGTCTCAGAATCGAACCTTCAAGATTGAACTAAATGTGATGGAGCACAAGTGCCTTTCGACTGCAGCTAGCATAGATGAATGGATATGGCATTATAGACTAGGCCATCTCAACTTCAGAGACATCAGAGATTTAAAGAGAAGAAATATGGTTTCAGGATTGCCAGAAATCGACATTCCAAACGAGATATGTGAGGAATGTGTGCAGGCGAAGCAACACAAGAATAGCTTCAACAAGGATACAGGAAGCAGGTCGAAAGCTAGTCTTAAAGTCATATACTCTGATGTATGTGGACCAATCCATATGGATTTGATGGGAGGTAACAAATACTTTGTTACATTCATAGATGATTTCATTCGAAAGCTGTGGACTTATCTGATCAAGAAGAAAAGTGAAGTGATCGAAGTATTTGCCAAGTTTAAGTCTATGGTCGAAAGACAAAGTGGTCGAAAGCTCAAAGTTTTTAGAACTGATGGTGGTAGAGAATATGTGTTGAAAGACTTCGACAGGATATGTGAAAAGGAAGGGATTGTGCATGAGGTGGTGCCACCCTATACTCCACAACAAAATGGAATTTTAGAAAGTAAGAATCGAACCATCATGAATATGGTGAGAAGTATGTTGAAAGGCAAGAATTTATCTAAAGAGTTTTGGGGGTGAAGTTGTTTCGACTGTAACATACATTTAGAATAGATGTCCTATAAAGAAGCTAGAAGGAATTACTCCAGAAGAATGTTGGTCTGGTGTGAAGTCTAGCTTGAGCCATATGAAGGTATTTGGATCTATTGCACATAGACATGTGTCAGATCAGTTGAGAAGAAAATTTGATGACAAGTTAAGTCAAATGATTCTAGTTAGATATCATTCGACAGGAGGCTACAATTTGTTCGATCCAATGAAAAACAGATTGTGATCAGCAGGGACGTGATCATAGATGAGTTTAAAGAATGGGATTGGAATGAAAATGTCAAGAAATATTCAGTGGGAATCCTATTCGAAGAACCAGAAACTCAAGTCAAAAAAGAAGTTCGACAAGAGGAACTAGCAGATATACCAAGTACAAGCAGACCTCAAAGAACAAGACGCACGCCTGCAAGATTGCAAGATTGTGTGATTACATCAGATGATGTGATAGATAATGAAGGTAAGCTAGTACATTATACTTTCTATGCATATGTCGAACCTGTTAATGCAGTTGAAGCATTGAAGGATTTGAAGTGGGTGAAAGCAATGAACGAAGAAGTGAAGTCTATCAAAGACAACAACACTTGGTAACTTGTCGAATTGCCTCAAGGTAAGAAGGCAATTGATGTCAAGTGGGTATACAAAGAGAAAACGAATTCGAAAGGTGAAGTAACGAGACACAAAGCAAGGCTTGCAGCGAAAGGATTTCTACAGAAAGAAGGAATAGACTTCGATGAAGTTTTTGCACCTGTTGTTAGGATCGAAATAATCAGGTTGGTTGTTGGTCTAGCAAAAATAAACAGTTGGCACATATGTCAGATGGACGTGAAGTGTACATTCCTAAATGGACCCTTAGACGAAGAAGTTTATGTTAAACAACCAGTTGGATTTGTGAAACATGACGAAGAATGAAAGGTGTACAGGCTGCATAAAGCCCTGTATGGATTGAAACAAGCTCCAAAAGCTTGGAATAAGAAAATTGATAGTTTCCTAAGGGAGAAGGAATTTGTAAAGTGCACAACTGAACATGGAGTATATGTAAGAAGAAGAAATAATGAATTGCTTATAATATGTCTCTATGTAGATGATTTGTTAATAACAGGTAGCAGATGGGAAGATGAATTTGGAACACTGTAGAACTGAGAATCAAATTGCAGACATCATGACGAAGGGAGTGCAAGTCGAAGTATTCAGAAGGCTAAGAGTCATGATGAATATAGATAGTTTAGACGCAATGAATTAGGTGGTGTGTTAAATTGTAATTCATAGTGTCGAAAAGATTAGATTTGTTTAGATTTAAATAGATTTGATTTAAGTCTAAAATATATTAGATTTGATTTAGTAACAAAATAGATATTTTGGGCTTTGGGCTTAGGGTGCAAGCTCAATTATAAATAGAGGGAGTAACTCCCATTTTGTAATCAAGTTATTAAGTTGTATTCACAGAATTTGCAGTTGCAAGTGAATAACAAAGTTTTCCACAGATTGTAGGCAGAGAGAAACTCTGCAGAAAATAATTGTCTTCTTTCTTTTCTTGTTTTTCACATAATTCATTGTCATTAAAGTAGAAATTCATCATAGATATTTGGTGGATTTCCAACAACAGTTGAATCTATTAGTGCATGAGGCACTTTTAGTGAGGAGAAAATAGAGAGAGAATAAGGAAATAAGAATTTGTATTATTGAATTGTACAAATAATGATACAGACTAGAACTATTTATGTACAACCCTAATTGGGCTTGGGTGTACACAACTTGGATTATATTTAAATATCAAATCAAATCAAATCTAATCTAATATTTTAAAAAATCTAATTTAATATTTCAACATACCCCCATAATCCAAGATATCGAACATACTCTTAAAAATAGTCAATCTGAACTATTCCTAATTTCTTTCTCAAATTCAAGAATTTGTCTATCTTTAATCCTTTGGTGAAAATATCATCCAACCGTACTTCACTCGAGCAATGCCTTACTTCAAGTTCACCTCGATTTACCTTTTCCCTCAAGAAGTGAAACATTGCTTCGATATGTTTACTTCTTCCATGGAGAACTGGATTATTCGCCAGATTTATGGCTGACTTGTTGTCGATTTGCAACACAAGAGGTTTCTTCACTTCGACCTTCATTTCTTCAAGTACTGATCTGATCCAAATTGCTTGACATGCAGCATATGATCCTGTTGTATATTTAGCTTCACACGATGACAATGCCACCACAGGTTGTTTCTTCAAACACCATGAGATTGGGGCACCAAATACTTGAATGAAATATCCAGTTGTGCTTCATCGATCTTCCTTATCTCCATACCAATCAGCATCTGAAAAACAATTAACTATTTCTTCTTTGCTTTCAGAGTCTTGTCGAAATAGTATTCCACAGTTTATTGATCCTTTTAAGTATCTTAGGATTCTTCTTGCAATCTTCATGTGTGATACCCTTGGTTCACTCATGAAGTTTCTCACTAATCCGACTGCAAAACCTATATCAGGTCGACTGTTGCACACATACCTCAGAGATCCCATAATTTGCTTGAACAAAATTACACCGACTTTGTCTTCCTCTCCATTCTTTTCCAATTTCACATTTGGTTCGACACATGAGTATGGAGGATTCGAATCATCCATTCTTAATCTTTTGAGTATTTCTTTGATATATTTTCTTTGATATAAAACCATACCTTGCTTCGACATTTAAAATTCCATGCCTAGGAAATAAGACAATTTTCCCATATCCGACATTTCAAATTCCTTCATCATTAAATCTTTGAACTTCGACAAGTTCTCCAAGCTATTTCCAATTACCAATAAGTCATCAACATACAAGAAGATGATTGTTATATTTTATGCTACAATCTGAACATAGACATCATACTCAGACTTTCATTTTACAAATCTCAATTCGACTAAGTATGATTCGATCTTCTTGTTACATGCCCTAGGTGCCTGCTTGAGGCCATAGAACACTTTGTGCAACTTATATACTTTACTCGCTTCCTTCTGAATCACAAATCCTTGAGGTAGTGTAACATAGACCTCTTCATCTAAAGGAACATTCAGAAATGTTGATTTCACATCTAAATGAAATGTCGATCAACCTTAATTGCATGCCAATGCTACATCTAGTCAAACAGTCTCCAATCTTACTACTAGAGCAAATACTTCAGAGTATTCGAGTCCTTCTCTTTGAAGAAAACCTAGAGCTACTAATCTTGCTTTATGTCTAGATATCGACCCATCAACATTGTGTTTCAACTTGAACACCGACTTCACTTTGATAACTTTTGTATATATTGGCAATTTGACTAACTTCCATGTATTGTTTCTTTTGATTTCCTGTAACTGTTCGATCAAATCTAACTTCCACTGTTTAATCTTCAAAGCTTCGTTATGGTTGATTGGTTCAACACCTACAAATAAAGAAAAATGAATTAATTCTCCATCTGGCGTGACTTCATCATCATCCACCACTTCATAATCATGAAGTCTTGTCGGAAGAACTCTATTTCTTTAAGGTCTTTGGCTTCATTCGTCTTCAACTTAAACTTGTTGAACTGTATCTTTCATTCATTGTCAATTGAGAGTGGACGATAATAGAACTTCACAACCTTTCGATTATGGTATCGCAAAAGATTCTCTACTGTGAATTTCAGATCGATAAGACAGTTGATCTCTATGAATCTAAATTCAAGAGGGGACCTCTCACTGTTGGAGTAGACAAATGCGAGATACAAA